TTTCTTGGTGCGGTAGTATCGGGCAAAATCGTAGTCGCCACGCAACGTTCAATTACTATTTTCAGTCTTTTTGTACCATACCTTCCATTATCGACTCTGTTCTCAATTTGTCCTGATTTTTGACTTTCACAATCTCATGTATGACTCAGAGGGCTAATAATGTGAGACGATGCATCGGTAGCCAAAATGATTACAGTTCAATCACAAGCGCCAAAAATTTGTGACAGAATCACCCGCAAATAACCCGGAACTAGCCGTTTCCTACAATGAATACCACCGATGGAAGCTACCCTTGGTGACAAATGGTTGCGCCATGATTTTTCAGTCTAGTGGTGCGCATGGCGCATTGATTGTAGGCCGACCTTCAAAGGGATGACCGTAGTTCAGTTTTTTTTTCAAGTTTCGTTTTTCAACAATAACTTTTTTTTAAAATGTCAGACTTGTATCGATGCCAACATGCTTAGTAGAAAAGTAGTTTAAATTTGGTCCTAGTAGAACCGAACTTTCAGTTTCGTGAATGTAGTGAAGAACAGGGAATGCAAGGCAAAGGAAATTCGGGACTTCATTGATTCCGTCTAGAATGTTATTCACGTAAACGTGATTAATTTCTGAACAATAAAGGTAGTTGTTTTGATCAGAGCGTTTCGTTCTTGCCACCACCGACAAAAGTCGTCTCGGCAAAAGTCGGTCCACGACTGGAACAGAAAACATCACCGTTCCATGCCTTCAGCTATCCTACCAGCATCCAGTACGCTAAATTCCTTCATTTAATACTTAATTTTGAAAAGCCAAAAATTGGTAGCTATATCAAGTAGATAATGTGAGGCTACGGGTTGTTTGCCCTTGTTCAAGGTGAGACCGCCGCCGTGCTCGGCCGCTAGCACTTCGAGTGGATGTTCGCAAGCTGTCCACTTTGTGCGACGGGCGATATCTCTGACCGATTCACTCTGATCTCCTCATCCCTCTCCTTCCTTTTCTTTCCTATTTGGGTTTATTGACGTGCCCTTTATTTCACTAAGAACCCGAGAGATTCCACCCATTTGGACCGTCAAGTTCCACCTTCTCCCAGAACTCCACAAAAATCGCTTCAGGTCGAGTTTTCAAACAGGCGGATTGACTTTCTTCGAAATATTCCGATTTCCATGTCTGAGCTAAGAGTTGGGTTAGGGTTAAGGGTAATTCTGCGCTGGGTAGTAAAATTTGCTCTCGCTCTCTGATCTGTAACAAATGTACTGTAACATGCTGCCTTTATTGTTCTCTGTTTTATTGTATCTTACTACTCACGAAGTGAATGTATGCTTTTCTCCGTATATTTCAGCCTCATCAAGCTAAACTCCTTAATCATCAGTAAGTCTAGGAAGAAGTTTGGCAGCTCTGTTGTGAAACTTATGTGAAACTTCGAACTCCTCAGAAACGGAACCTCACTCTAACAATTTGTTCTGTCACGCACCTTCTATCCAGCTCTGCACTTCCAGGGCCGAGTGCAGGGCTCAGACACAGGGTTGTTTTGGCTAATTCATTATTTATGGGGATTAACTAATGCGGTCTTTGATACGCTTTCATGAGTTGTGGTTGGTTCTCTTTTAGGTCTCACAATCAATTGTAGTTACCAGATTTACATAGAATAGTCATTGCATGATTCATTTTTGATGTTCTACTTCTTCGTCTTCCTAGCGCTAATCGCGCCGTCGCATGATCGGCTGTTCTTGTTAGGCGCTGCCACTTAGTCCTATTCAGGGCATCTTCTGCCGTGGTTTCGACCTTTCAAAGATTCTTTCGTGACATCCATCCACCTTTTTTCGGCCCCTCTGGTCGATTGCCTTGAACTTCGCGCTCCAGCGCATTCTGTAATATTTCTTCCTTGCAATCCCCGTGGCTTTTGTATGCAGAGTACGATTATAATAATATAAATTAGAATTCTGTCTCGGACTAACCTTTCGAACATTTAGCATTTATTGAAAATAGGCCTGCGATTTCCTGAGCCTCACCGAAAGCCCCTGAATTCTTTCATCTATTGCTGTTAATGTTCCATTCTATTACGAAAGTCCTCGTACATGTATTGGGTCCTTCGTCAGAACACCCATGTACCGTTTTGAACGATAACCGAGTGTGTTGGCAAATAACCCAATACAATGACTTCGGCTAGGCTACTTGTACCAGAGTGGTACTACTTGTAAGACGACTGCAGTAATACCAGCATTCAAAGTGGCATTAAAAATCCATAAGGGTAACATTTTTCTGACTTTAAACGGGTTACGGGTAAAATGAGAGCTGTTTGCCTAAGCGACTAGGGCCAAATTCTTACATGTGTTCCAGAGTCAGCGGCACGATACAATTTGACGCCTACCATCGATGCTGTTATGCTCTCACTCCTTTCTCTTATCATAGCGTCGGGAACAGTTTTACGAGCCGATACTGAGGTAAGCAGCAAATTTGTCAGGAAAACCGAGTTCACAGCTGCCCTTAGTTTTTACTCTTTCAACCACTGGACGGGAATATCTTATTCAATCAAGTCAAATGTGCGCATTCTGGTTCTTCAGTTGTATGTCATGTCGTGAAATTTTGTATAAACAAGGATCGAAAAAAAGCTCACTAACGGTCTAGAAATTTCTGGAGAAAAATTACAATTTTTCGTTAGAACCGCAGAAGTTCTATGGAAAAATAAAGAATTTTTTAAGTTCTTTCTTTGGTGTGGTATTTATCTCCCTTATCCCTACAACCTCCCGGCGGGCGCTGTGTGACTTTTTTTCGTAGGAGCCGGGGTCGATTTCAGAGAGTTCAGAAGTAGGGCTTGTTACGAGGAGAGGGGCCGTATCCACTGCCCATCACACGACTTGTTCTGCCAGGGATGGTGCAGATGCCACGAGCCTCCACTTCAGTTGAAAAAGTTCTTGATCTCGAAGGGAACTTGATTTGTTCACTGCTTTGAAAAGTGGACAGTGACGATGAAGTTGGTCAATTAATTTCGAACAATGCAATGGAAAAATTTCAACAGTACTTGGAGTTGGCTTTGAACGTAACCAAAGCTGTTTTGATATTCTTTACGTTGTCTTCTGAAGGCCTACACCTTCAGCTGAAGAAAGAATGGCTTGTGCATTCCTCCAAAACTGCTTCCCATTCTTAAATGAATAGACCAAGTGTGGGAGCGCTCCACCCAATCTCAAAATGTTTCACGTATTCGTCTTAGACCCATTGTTTACTTGAGATCAATCTTCGTATTGTTTATCATTCTCCTAACATTGATGTTCAGCAATGGGAGCCGACTTCATACCCGGATCCTCGCACCAACGCATCCCAGTGCAACACCGTCGAGGATTCCACATTATGCGATCCAGACAGAATACTTACTGATACTTGGCGTCAAACTATCAATGACAACATCGCTAAGCAGACAGCACGTGAGAATGATGTCCACTCAAATAATTTCGCCAACATTCGTCAATATGATCATGTAGTACGTATCCTGAAAATAATTGTAATGGTGAGCAACAGGCGGAGTTAACGATGAAAAGACGGCCTATTGCAAATCAAAGTAGAGGAGCTTAGTATAAAGGGATAAAAGAAAAGCTAAGAAAACGGCCTTAAACCCGGGAGATGGGCATCTTTCATTACACGACAAAATCCGAGTCTCATCGGTGCTGAAGTAATCAGCTCTGGAACGCTCTGCCCTGCGTCTCTGCTAAATGGCAAACATCCGCGGCTAGAGTCCAATGGCGAGGGGATGGCCAGTTGTAGGGCGTGTAGTGTCGCCGGTACGGTCCTGCTAGTCCTCCACGGGAAGACGCTTCGCTGCAAAACGCTCCTTGTTCCGGACCCTTAGGCGACCGCCTGATCATACCGTATATTGCGTATCTCCTAAGGACTGTTGGATGGTGCGTTCCTTCGTATTTATAAATATCAGGGTGAATCACTTGTTCAAAGAGTTCGGCCATAATGCACTAATGGCTACAATGACCCATAGCCCTCCCACAAGTCACCAGCTCATCCAAGTCTTGCTTTCATCCTCTCCAAACCGAACCCTAGAAACTATATGTGACTGTTGTCAAAAATATCGACTTGAAAAGGGGAAGGAAGAGATAGAGGGTATCTGCCATAGTCATAGCAGGGTAAAGTTTCGGAAATTCTAAGAACCCCTAAAATTCAGCACAATTCCTCAGGATTTCTCAAGAGGCAAAAACAAATCCTTCCAGAGAATTTCTAAGGCCTATCCGCTTTTTATAAAATACATAAGTGTTTCATTTTGTGCCATCGCAAAGCACCGATGGGGTTCGTTGTCTACCAGAAAGCGATTGGTCGTGCTGTTCTTAGCGAAACCAATTCGATTAATGATGATGACGGTGTTTTTGATTACTGCTGCCATTAGTCAATTTCAGGACTACAGAACGTTGACGTTCAATACACCTCTGAAGCGGCAGGACATTGTTGTGCAGGCAATGTGACTGATGTACGAATATTTGTGATTCTGGCGAGAAGAATCAACACAACCTCGAATCAAAACATCACTAGCAACGACCTGGTAGAGTTTCTCACGAATCAGGGGCTATGTGTAATTGCTCAGGGAGATTAGAGTATCTCTGATAAGGATTGATCAAGAAAAATCATGAAAAGAAAGGGAGGTTTCTTTTTGTCTTTGTTTTTTTTTCGTGTCGTAACCAGCGGTATATTCTCAAGTAGAGACAGATAGGTGCCATTGCATGGAATTTCCGCAGTGTATGGAAAATAGGCTGAAATCAATATTTTTCGATGTCATACATGAAGTCGGCAACTGTTGCAATCAAATATAACTCAGTGGGATAAGATAGTCGTACCGATGAAAACTCAGCATCACGAATGGGCTATAAGCAATTTTTGGGATTCGCCACGCATCTGCTCTCGCCCAGATTCGTAGTGACATTTGCATGCGGTTTGGTCCATATGATTATTTGTTGAACGAACTGGTGTAGAAGCCAGCATCTGTTTCTTCTCTTCCATAGCGTTTAGTACCGAAAAGCCGACACAAAAGGGAGAGCGGGATTGATATGGGAGGGCTTGAATGTCACTTCCCAGAGCATACGAGGGTACAACCGCGAATTCAAAAATAACTTGTAAGAAAAAATAAATTTTCGAGTCCGCTTTTGTCATCGTGAAAAGTTCTGGCACTGTGTTAAACCAAATTGAGGCTCGATTGGCTGCAACAATGAGGTGGCGCCTCTATCTACTATTTGTGCATGTTGCAAGGCCTTCTTCTAACGAAAATACTGAGTTTTCACCAAAATTTTTTATTCTCACTCCCACATAGTCTGAGTTATCTGAACCTGAAAAACAAGGTTGACAGTAATGCCACCAAATGCTGAGTCTTCCTCCCACTCGCTTTCGGCTTATATGTATGCACAAAATATCTACGCTTGACAGCAACTGTCCCTTTATCTTCTTGTCAGTAAGCTACTGAAATCAAACACTGAAACCCCAATCTTAGCCAATGACTTCCCCTTTCCTTTTTTTCGTCAACATTGTGTTGTACAATTTTCTTTTTTTCGCCCGTTTGGCTCGAAATTTATGTTGTATAACCACCACATGTATCTACAGCAACGGTCGAAAGTGTCGCCGAAACGATTTTAGTGCATTATTTTTTCTCGCTTGAGCAACGCTCTCCAAAAATTGATATACTATGTTTCTAGTGTTTTTATATCTTCAAGTCGTTCGGAATCAGAATATTGAAATCAGGATATTTTTTCCCGGCAAAAAATGGAGCACGAAAAACCGTTTCGGTGAACATTGACTGTTACTGTATATAACTGCTAGGTTCACATATGTACGGATAACAAGCGAAATTGAGTTCAATCACCTTTTAAGAGTGATGGAGCAGGAAAGTGGGGCAGGAATCGAAAGAGTAGCAACAAGAATTAGCGCAAAGTATCTGGTCATGAAATGTGCTTTCTAATTGTACGGTTTAGTTGTTCACCATCATTCCGCAAGCGTGTTTCGTTTTTAGTGCATATTGACAAGTAACCAAAGAAACTGCAAAGGGCCCGCCATTCAGAGAATGAATCATTGATCGTTTTTTTATTTGAATCTGCCCTGAATGTGGTTCCTTCCTGCGAATTCGAATGTTCTCATACAAAATCAGAACATGAGAAAATGTCAATCGAGCCGCTATCAATACGAGCGTGTGAGTCAAGAGGCTATGTAAAGACGCGTGGGCATGCATCACGAGGCGCGCAATGTGCTAAAAAACGAGGTGTCCCCAAGAGGCCCGTCGCGCGGCGAAGGAAGAGACGCAGATGCGGCAAAGGACGAGTCGCAGCGCGTGCTGTGCGATATGAGACGTAGTATGGTACACTCTATTTAACCTGACGCCTAACCGCTACAGTATGCGCTGCGACTCGTCCTTTGCCGCGTCTGCGTTCTTTCCGCGCGACGGGCCTCTTGGGGGACACTCTTAAAAACGCAATGGTTGAAAAAATCTACGTCAGGACACATCTCGTCCCTCGAACAAATAGTATGACCCTAAAAAAATTTTCTCATTGCGGAACTTGTATGTTCTATCACAATTTACGGGTGCAGTCTCTCTATTGTACCTCACTCGGTTAGCGCTGTGATCATACCCTAACTTCCTTTAGAGCAATCATGCACATAGCCCGGATACGGAATTAAATTAATGCCTATGTTACTTCATTATGTTGTCAGACCACCTTCGGCCATGGTCTACGGGAAGCGTACGGTCTTGATGCACAACCATGCAAAAACTATATTCTCATTCTTGGGGTTGAACTGGCAAAGGAGCTGTATGTTTGGGTAAGTTAACTTCACTTTCTTCTGCAGTGTAAACTTTTCAGATCAAAAGCACATTCCACGGCAACAAGATGAGGTTATTTTGCCGTAAGCAGAATCAGAGGAGGTGGAGGGGGGAGGGAGGTGAGGAGGTGGCCCCTAACGAACAAAAATGGAAAGGAAACCACAACACTGAATGTTAGAGTTTTTCTAAGTAGACGGACTTTGTCACGAAGGAGAGAGTCTTGGCGTCGAGGAGAGAGAATCCCGACGCGTAAATGATTACCTTGTATTCAACCCTAGGAGTGTCTTCGACACGCACATTTGAACCCTGGGAACGGCACATATTCTGCTTGAGCGACTGTCTATTCTGCTCACGGATAGATGCGGAGAGTGCCTTTTACTGTGAAACCGTCATTTTCATTACAATTATAACACGTAAGCACTGCTCAAATTACAGCTATAGGAAAATAGAACATTATGAGCCAGGAATTGGGGAGCGGTCAACAGAATCGTCCGATTGTCGCGCTGCTGTGGGCGACCAGTTGCGCGGCTTGCGACGCGGCAATTTTGCGAGGGCGCAGGATTTTGAATTTGATGATATGAGTAGCGAAATTTTTTGCTGTCCACAAAATTTATTTCACGGCCACGACCAGTGATGCAGGAATCAGGGTGATTCTGTTGACACACACCCACTCTGGATATCTTAGCGTACTGACGATTTTTTAATGAAGCTGTAAACGAAATTTAGACAGGATCTGACCTGGCATTTCCGAAAGAGCGCATGGACACTTCACTAAGCCAGTACAAGAACATGTTTCTCGAACGGAATTACATGGAAGGATTGAACAAAATTGTTGCGGAAATCGGCAACATTCTGGTGGATCCATTCAAGGTCGCCTTTTTTTCCACTCTTATCTTCAGACTTTACAAGACTCCTATTTGATGTTCAACAAAAAATAAGCTAATAAAAAAGCTAATAAAATAAAAGCTCATGACTCAAGTCTTTTTAATTATGTCATTTCTTTTCTGATGTCTGATTTCTTTGTCCAGCTATTAGTTTCTACTTATTCACTTTTTTGAATTTAGTCATGCGTTAACGTTCGCGTATAAAAAATTAAGTGTCAGAAGGTCTTCGTAAGAAATAGCACCGTGTGGAATATATGTATTGATCTATGCTAAAAGGAATGAATTGAGTCTAGAAGTAGAAATGGATTCATGTATGTTGAACTACGGCAATCTCCCAACTCCTGGGGCGGGGGTAAAGGGTATTAAAGCTAAAGGTAAGGCTCGACAACTTATAGTTCGTGGGTCGGATTCAGATCGAATTGCCAACACATCAACCGAGCTTTTCGAAGATGCATAGTAGCGCAACGTTCTGTTACATACATACATTCAGGTCCTTAAAAAATGCGAATAACAGTCATTATATTTAAGGAGCTTCGAACATGGGCTGAAGCGCTATCTGTTGGGCCGCATTGTGCATAAAAGGTTTATTCTTTCCAGGACTCATCAACAGTAACAAGTATGAACAATGCAACGATCGACCTCGATGGAGAAACGTCCGTTGAAAACACGACCACTTCTTTAGGACAGAGTCCATCTGCGCCGATGTGAGTTGTTTGCTCATAGTTCCCATGATTGTCCATGGTAAGATGTTTCATTCCATAATTGTCCATTCAACAAGTGCCTTCCGCAAATGAGGTTAATGGCCATTATGGCCGAAGTTCATGATGCTACTTTCACAACTTGAAATACATGGCATGAGGCTCAGTGCTCGTGTCAGCGGACTGTGGTGTCTACTGTCTCGCTCGCCTGCTGTACTCTCTCATTCCGCCCACCTGCGCCATTCCCTCACCGCCGAATCTCTTCCAGACTGCATTTCTACAGTCCATATCTCGAAGTTTGATTAGGCGTTTCGTCGGGAATGATGGCAGCTACCGCACTAGACGGAATTCGCGTAAAGGAACTACTTCCGGCCTGCCGTGCTTTCTCTGATGTATGCTGGAAGCGGCTTATCCGCGCGGCTTCTATCAAATGCCATGTCAAGTCCGTAGACCCGCCTCATCGACCGTCAGATATGGACGACATCTGTGGCAACACTCCGAAGGAAAGGGGGACTTTATATAAAGTGTTTTCGGCAATCTCTTTTCTTTACTTTTCTCAGAAGACGATTCTACGGTAAGTAAGAAAAGAGACTGACCACAGTTATCATTCGCCAAATGCTGGTCTTTATACTCGGCTAGCGGTCCGTCCCCCATCGTGGTGGCATCTCATCTGTGTCGCTAATCTGCATGCTCTCTCGTCTCGAATTCTTTCCTCCCTCCTCGGCGACCACTTCTCTTATCCAATATTTTTTCTCATTCTCTTTCATAGTGTAGACAAAGGTTATGCTCTCTGTTTTTCAATGGTTTCTTCTTAATTCTTTCTACTGGAAATTCCTCGGCTGACGTACATTCATGCTCAGCGGATTGGCTGCTTGGTAGTAGGGCCATTTTTGAATAAGATTTTGGCCGTCTACTATTTTGCAGAATAAGGATGAATGAGTTATAATAAATGAGTTATATTTCAGATGGGTTTACGTCATTATGATTACGTCAGTCATAGTCGCCATCGTTTCCCTCATTTTGTTGTTCGCAGTATTATGGAAGAAATACGAGATTCGTGAAATGTTGCATGAACTGTATCCAAACAAGAAGGAGAAGCCTACATTCATGTAAGTTTGACACTCACACCAACGGTCAGTATTTTCCAAGAAATTAGCGGTTGTATCCGTACCCGGTTTCCCTTATCTTCTTTTCTCTCCACTTTCAAATCAACCCTCGACTTCACACTTAGATTAGTACGCCCTATCTCATCACTTCGCCATCATTTCCTATTTTTGCTACATTTTAGTCTATTTTTTATCAATTTTGTTTCCGGGATCCACTCTGATTTCTTTTCCAAACAAGCACGCTTTCATTTCTTCACATTTTTATAGATGAACACATAAATTGCTCTTAGCACTGTTATGTTGTAAGTATGTTATTATTACTACAATCGGTACTTGACCGTACTGTTAAGGCTGTGCTGTCCATCATGACGTTCAATCTGGTGTTATTGTTTCCCATTCCTTTCGTTCATCCAGCTTTATAGCGAAGCGAAGTGTAAACATTTCAGATCCTCAGATGATGCTCCAGCCGCAAGACCTGCTCCTGAGAAATGTGAAATCCACAATGTCAGTTCAATTCAAGAGCTAAAAGAATTGCCACAGGAAGAGAGTTCTGAGGATAGTGCTAGCAGTCCCCCATCCGGCACGAAAAACCGTAAAAGATAGTAAGTTTACTTTAAGTATTATTGAATGGTGACCATGACGCCTACTGATCTCGTACCCTGACAGCCTTAAGAGATTTTTTATGAAATATTGATTTCAGTTCGGTAAGCGAAATATCGTTGCCTCGTACAGTATCACTCAGTGGGTCCAATCGACTAGCATTTCTCCAATCTGCAGACGCCTATCGGCTTCGAAATGCCGAACAACATTTTCATAATTCCCCGTCGGATGGGAGTTTCGTGTAAAAATAAAGTGTTCCATAAATTTTTAACAAGATTCATGATGCTTCTGCAATACTACCTCATCACCACAAGGTAATCAGTAAATACTTGTTCATGATTCAATCACCATTTGTGAATCGAGGAAGTACCATCGGCTTCTTCACAACCTTGTTTCTATAGAACACAAATTACAAAAGTATTTCACAAAGAGGGGTCTTTGGTGTGACCTTCCCTGATAGCAAAACAGATATCAAATGTTTTATCGATGGATATCAGCTACTTATCCGAAGCGAATTTCTTTTGCCAAAGCTTTGGAAGAATCTGACTGAGACGCCCTTCAGACAGAACCTTCGTTTCAAACAGCTCCAGAAATCGGAACATGAGGGTTGTATCAGCCAACATAAATGGTTAGAAATCCATCAACCACTTAAGATCGAAGATGCGTCACGGCTAGCCGATTTCGCAGCGGGACGATCTATGATATGTGCTGTCATCGTGTACAGCTGTGACGACACATATGACAGTTTTTTAAAGTTTCAAACTCTTTAGGAAGAGTCAAAACGTATGGGCATTTCTCCACGTAAATCATGCCTATGACTTCTGTGAAGTTCTGCAATGAACAGAAAAAATCTTGTTCCCGGAGGTAGCTCTTGCTCAACTTTTTGCAGATTTCGGGAGGGTTTTTCAGTGGACGTAACGTTGGGAGGATACCTGCAAGGCGGACAAAACAAGTCGTTTCGATATCCCCTCACTTTCCACTGTGAAAGACTGTGACTTCTTCTTCCGCCCATACACCATTTCATGGTTTCTCAGGTCTAGTTAAACAAAGTCGCGTATTTTCCAAGCCGCCATTTATCGTGTAAGAGCACGACGCTAGATTTGATCTACGTAGACTCAGATTTTTCACAGGTAGAGTAACACTTACGGGACTCTAAGAACCCCTTTTGAAGCGCCTCAACATCACACGCCATTATTTATTTATTATTTATTGATTTTTATATTGCACTCAAGGTGCGTCTGAGATCAATCCGTGCAGGTATAAATACAAAGGTTGACTGCTGGAAAAAATGCAACACATCTGCATACATTGCCATCTGCTTGGCATCGAAACATCATGTAATAAGCAACACCTCACCTTGATCGCATTCGAAATCGACCTATGGGCTGTGATTGATTGCTTATTTCGTTCTTCTTTATTGTGCTCCAATTTTCAAGTTTTATTCCCTTTCATTTCACACGATAGAGGTAAAATCAACACAATAGCTATACAACACGAAACCACAGAAAGCTTCTTTCAAGTCGATGCGGCAGTAGCATTCGCATTTTATTACATGCATGATACAATAGCTAAATGAACATCAGTAACATTCTATTGCTCTTAATACAAACAGAGTGAGGTTGGCGCCATTGGGCAGTGCATATACTATACAGATTCCATGAGAAATATTAACGCAGCGACAACAAGCTCTCTATCTTATCTTGTGCTTCTCCTTTCTCCGACAATAATCCTGTGTCGTTGGCTACGGGACGAGTTGACATATTGCTTAAGGAAGCAAATTTTGTATCAATAAAAATACATCCAAACACAAAAAGCTGTAAAAAAGGAATTTTTGCACGATTTTATGAGCCCCTCGCACATAATAAAATCACAAAATATTTTGTTGTGGGGTAACTCGTAAAGCATAAGTGAGACAGTGCCTCAATTGGGTGTGTAGTCAACATTCTTAACGTGTTGGGGCGTTAACGTGCGTCCTTACGTTGAAACTATTTCATCCACCCTAACATCCCTTCTTAGTAGCACCGAAACTCGAATGTTCCATGGTTTTGTGAGAAACTGCATATGCCCCAAAAGGATTGACTCCATGCAGCTGCGATGCTACAAAACCTCATTTAGTTTTGCAACTCTGAAGAGGTAAGGCAGAGACGCCCCCCCCCTACCTGCACCTCATTCCGCTCCGTCATGATCAAAATTTCTTCCCCCTAGAAATTATTAGGTTAAGTACTAAGTAATGTCTGCTTTTTTAAAAAATGCGCCAAATTTTTCAAACATGTTTCTGTTGTTCCCGCCAAAGTAGTATGGAGGGACCTCAGCATACTTTAATACCACCAAATTTGACCTCCCTCACTCGTCTCTGGGTAGCAATGGTTCTAGAAGTTCCGTGAAGGCGATTACGTTCTTGAAGACCAACCACGTTCGGAACGCCCAGTGACTGTGGATTTTGATCGGATGGAGGAACTTTTCCGAAAAAAAAATCCGAACTTTTCCGAAAATCCGAACGCTACTACCCGTCAACTTGCAGCAGACATGCAGTGCTCTCAGACCGCCATGAGCCATTGCCTCCAAGCTATGGGGAAATTGTACAAGCTGGGGAGATGGATTCCACACGAACTGAGTGAGGCTGCGCTGCGGACACGTGTGAACATCTGTCAAAGTTTGCTGTCCAGAAGTCGCCGTTTCGACTGGCTCGACAACATCGTCACTGGGGATGAGAAGTGGGTGGTCTACGTAAACCATACACGGAGGCGTCAGTGGGTGGACGCAGATCAACAGCCGATGCCAGTCCCAAAAGGTGAGCTCCACCCGAGGAAGGTCATGCTCTGCGTTTGGTGGAGTGTACGAGGCCTGCATCACTACGAACTTCTGGATGACAACACCACCGTTGACGCAGAGACCTACTGTTTGCAGCTGCGTAGAGTTGCTGCGGAACTCTCAAAACTGCAGCCTCCTATGAGTGAAGTTCTCCTGCTACACGACAACGCGCGCCCACATGTCGCAAAGGAAACTCAGAGGACAATTCAGGAACTTGGCTTCACAGTTCTCCCTCACCCACCGTATTCTCCCGACCTCGCACCAACCGATTACCACTTGTTCCGCTCGCTTGCTCACTTCCTGGAGGACAAGAGATACGATGATCGCAAGCACCTCGAATGGACCTTCTTGATTCTTCGACCTTCGTGATTCTTCGCCTCGAAGACAGCAGAGTTCTGGCAGAAAGGAATCCACTCACTGACCAATCGATGGAGTACAGTTGTAGAAAGTTGTGGTAAATATTGCACTTAATAAAGTTGCTTGCAAAGAATGTTGCACAATTTCAATATCGTCCCAGGACCGGACATTACTTAGTACTCAACCTAGTAAAGGGCGAGTCAAAACAAATCTCCCATTTCGATATGGCAGAGCGTTACGGTTGTTTGAGTTTTTTCATTGTTCACAAAAGTTCATCGGTGCTCTTAAAGCAGGTCCTTCCTTTTTGGTTTTTCTCAGAAATCAACACTAACCTTATCCTTGTTTCAGGGAAGTGATCAATTAAAGTCACATTGGACAACTGATCTTGCGGCGATTCAGTTGACGTAATCACGACTGGAGTTGTAGGAAGAGTTGTGCTCATTGTTGGAGGAATGTTGAAGTAAGTTGTTGATGGACTTGAAGTTGTCGTTGGTGCTATAACCCACATCGATGTCGTCGTTCGTGTCGATTCAGTAGTAGTTGCCTTCTTAGTTGTTTTGTCATATGGAATGGTCAGCAGATCCCAAAAGGGGAATAAACGGGAGTTTATTATAAGTGGATGTGCACTTGTTGTAGGAATAGTTGCCATAGTTGGACGTGTAGTCCTTATAGAGGACATATCATAAATCGGCTCTCGAATATTGGCAAAAGTTGTCGGGCGTGGCGTATCGTACATCATGCTGTCATTGCAGAATGATTTCGCCCTGAGTCATTGAAAAATTAAGAAATATAAATTAAGAAATAAACTAGAACAATTTTTATTATTTATCTATTTTACTTGCTTCATTTGTTTTATTATTATTAATTCATTTGTTCGAGATACTGTAACTATTTCAAAAAAAGAGTGAACAAACCAATGTTGCATGCTTCTTTCAAAATAAATGTCATTATCAGCAGCGCGTATTTCCCAGGGTGAAAGTCGAGTACTGCACTGTGGATCCTCTGCACCGAGACATACAAAATATCTTGCTCCAACACCCATTCCATTCGGATACCACACCTAGGGTCAAGAAATTTGGATTGTTAAGAGCAATACAAGCAATTACCTCGTAGCGATGATGATGGGGTGGAGTCCACTCGCCGTCAAATTTTCTTGGATAACGTGGCACCATGTCTCGTCCATGAACAATTCGGAAACGATAAGGCACCTTTGACAAATCTGTGTTGGTTCGAATGGCACATGCACAGAAGAGACTGGTACAACCAGCCCCACGTTCATGGTAAACGAACACAATCTACGGGGTTGAGTTGGTTCTGTTGTTCTCTTACAAATAGCTAATTGCTCGGAAGTCTATGTAAGTGTTCAACCGATCCGCAACAGTATCTGCCACCGGTTACTGACATAAACATGTCTAGGAGACAGCCACCGAAAAACGGCGGGCTTCAGAGGAAAAATTTTCGGCAGCATTTATCCTTTAGTGCCCGCCCCCTCCTCGGAAACTGTGCCGGATTTTGAGAAATTTGTCCATGACTGCAGGCTCGGCTAGCAAGTTCTTGGGTAATTGGACGCGTAGAATACAAAATAGCGCACTCTTTCAGCGCTGGTGCCCGCGCCACAAGTGCAGGCGTCAGAAGGTGCCAGAACACCTTGGATCATTAGATCCGCTGGGAAACTTGTTGACATGGGTAGTTTGAACCGTAGAACATGAATATCAGTCTAGTTCCTTGGAAGGGGGCTTGTACCCTGCAATACGGCAGCCGGCGCTAAATTGATGTGATAGCATGGCGCCTGTGTCGCGAAGCTCAGACCTTTCCGCGCTAAACTGATGTAATAATCGTGTACCACGTGTTGAACTTGCTAGCCAATTCCTTAGTCATGAGAAAATTTCGATCGGAATCCTACTCATTTTTTGAGAAGTGGGGCAGTGAGAGATGAGCAGTTCTTTTCCCCACATCCTTTTTCCTGCTTTAAGACCGCAGTAAGGACCATTTTGAAATGTTTGGTCACGAATGGTATTTTTGCTTCACCAAATAAAACTACGGTGAATAGAATTGTTATCATGTGCCTTGTCCAACAGATTTTATTCTCACCAGAGCCTCAATGAGGTTTACAAATGACATGTCGCCAACACGTGTTGCTCCAAATGTGAGCAGTCGAACTTTATCTTGAGGAACCAATTTTTTCAGAAGAACAGATACGACAGACATTTCTGCTTTTGCTCCACCAAGTGAATGCCCGATAAACTGAAATTTGCGTCCCTTTTCACAATTAAAAAAAATACAGCAGAAAGTGTCAAATCTCTCACCCATACTTCGAAGCCGGTATTGTTCTCTACAACTGCTTTGAGGGTTCTCTCCATTCCTAGGAGATACCAGAGTTTGAACCAGCTTTCGTACAGAAACCTAAATTTTTATTCCAGTAAAAGAGTGCGGTAGACTTCACAAGGTTGACATATCATGCAAAAGTCATTATGACTGAAGATCTATCTCGGGTTATGGTTTCGTTTGCCTTTCGTTCCAATTGAGGAATTTCTTCAAAATCCATGTATTGTGCTAGTAAAGATGTTGCTGGTAGTGAAAATTTACGCCCTATGATTTATATTTATGAACCCATCAACCAGCTTGCACTATGAACCGATCTGACGCGTGTTCCGTAAGCATTGGTACGACCCATCTGCCATGTGTTTCCAAAACTTCACCGCCTTTGTTATGGCTGTACAGAACGCTGCTAATGAATTTTTCCAGGAAAAAAGCTATTTTCTGTTCCGTGGAATTATGGACTTTAATAACAGAAGTCATTCTGAAGAAGGGTTTTGGACCCTCAGATTAATATGAATCTGCTGTTATGGCTATGGTTCTAACTCAAAAATTTGATGCAAATGGAGTGCTCATCGATATTCACCGAAATTGATATACCTTTACATTATTCGGGTCTATTTCATTGGGGGGGGGCCACTCCGTACCTATGCTCTCTTCGGAAATATACATGGAAAGGCTTTTCACATTTTTCTAAAAAAAGCAGGTAGAGACTCGCATAGGAGTCGTTCCCACGACCCATAGGCTATGAGTTAGTGGGTCACTGCGTTTTACTGCTCCATAACTTCGTCCAGAAAATCATTTCACAGAACGAAAGCAGATTCAAGCCTAACGCCTCGAGGAACATATAGGTTTGCATCTGATTTTAAATAGCGAGATCGACCTTCTCTTGTAAGTTTCTGTCGATGTGATGTTTAGCCTTGAAAGGCTTTTTTGAAGGTATTGCGCTTCGCTAGTACCCATTTAGTTCTTTCTTTTATCTGACTCATCACTTTCAGGGCGGAGACCAGCGACGTTACCGACACGAGGAGACGTCTGGCAGCAGCGGCCGAGGACCGCGACCTCTTCCTGATCTCCTCCTCTCACCATTCAACAGGACGAATGTCGCCCTCACGCGCTGTCGTCACGGCCAATTCATCCACGGGCATGCGGCATCGCTCAACGCCGTGGCGTTTTGCAGCCGAATGGTCGACTGGTCAAATTCACACAGCGCAATTGTCCCATTCGCAGCCTTGGAGCAGCAGCAGCCGAGGATCGCGACCTCTTCTCGATCTCCTCTTATCACCATCTAAGGGCGACGCCCTCTGCACGAGCTGCATCAAGACCTGATCGTTCATCCTTGCCTACATTACGTTTTTGTGTCCGTAGTATTTCTCGTGCCTTTGATGCACAGTATTTCTCATGCCTTTATGTTATCTGCTGTATGCATTTGGTTGATAAGTATGTTCTACATTGGTGTCCTTAGAATGAAACCTATCAAAACGACTTTCGAAGGCAGTTGAATGATTAACAGCTTCTACTGCGTGCGCGCGCTTACTTTTTGCAGAAAACCAAATTTTGAAAATAGTGCACAAGAAGTCACGCACCTGTTTACGAGTCCGTCTGATCCTTCGAACTGTGCTTGCCTATTTGTGAAAAACTCAGCATTGAAATGTGTGTAGAACTGAAATCTCATCTTCTGGCGTTATTATTTCTTATCAAAGCCAGGTTTGGCAAGGAACCTGCGACAAACCTGAAAAAGGTGAAATAATGTGAGATTTTCAACTCTCACATACCAGTCTGTTTCCGGACGCTACGCTCGAGAAAGATGCAATTATGGCCTGATTTGTGTGATCAATAGCAACATAGCCATCTGTTCGTTCACCCTGTAATCAAATTTGGGACTAGCAGTGAAATTTTACATCAATACTTTTAAAAGATCAGTACCATGTCCGTTCTAATGGCGAACCTCCTCAGCAGTTGTACGTTTCCAGGAAGGGTCGAGATGCACTTCTGCTGTAAGCAGTGTGGATTCAAAAACGGCACTGGCGATGTTAGTTCAAGGTGATGCCAAATCTTGCCATTTCCATCAGTGTGCCTTGTGCGGCTGCTATGAGCGGAGTTCCGATGACACGAGCAAAAGTTTCGTTATACTGTGTCTGAACAACGAACAGTAGCCTCATCATAAGGCAAGAAAATTTCTTGGTGTTACCGGTGAAAGGAGTGGGCAGTCAACATGCTCTTTGTATCCGGTACGACACTTTACGTCCACAGACACGCATGAATTCCACGTGGGACACCACCTAGAACTGTGCGAGTAACTTTTCAGTACCTCCAGATGGATTTCGAGCGAAATTGAAAATTGCCTCGCATGTTTCACTAGGAAGGCAATAGCGCCTTGCGTGGAATATGTGGGCTCGGAGAATAAACGTGGCAATATTCCGCGAATGCCCATACTGCACAATAATAACAACAACAACACACCAAGGCAAAGCTACAGATAAAACACTATGTGCGCGTGTGAGTTGTCTGCTCTTCTCCCCCGGGGGGGGGGGAGTGGCTTTATGGAAGAATTCAACGGCTTCTCAGTCGAAATAATAGGTTGGCCAAAAAGAAAACGCTCACTTTTGTGACATTGTTTCTATGCTAAAACAATGTCTCACAATGCGTGGATACTTGTTCTGAACGCCGTTTTCTGGCGCACATGAGGATATCAAGTGTTAGGTAACAATATATTCTCTTGCCAAAAATTTTGTTTGAACACGTTGAGTCCAAAGCGCTGTCCTCGTGTGTGCATTTGGCACGCCCTCAAGCAAGGAACAGCGGTCACTGATACTTATCATGTAATGTACAAAACATTGAATAACAACGTGCCATGGTCTCGTCGCTTCAAAGACTGAGGTAAATGTTAATGAGGACGAGGAGCATGCATACCGACCTGAGCTGTTGATAACAAAGTACTAAAGAAAACCGTTGAATCGAGTCATTGCCAAACTACACAAAAACTCGGATGAAGGTTTGAATGCGTCAACACCGAAGCTTGAAAGCCTCTTGGTTTCACTAGTAAGGCCAAATGCTGCGGAAAATGGTTCGGCATCTCCACAGTGAAGCGAACAAACAATGCACTCTGCCAGCGCTTCAACTCTGCCCACATCTCCAGAAAAAAAACGGAGTTTCTGTCTTCGTTGTGAGACACTTTGAGAAGAGGATGTTTCACGAAAACATAATGAGAAGACGGCCGTGGTTGGCAGCAGACGGACACGTGAGACCAACTCCAAAAACTCCAAAATCAGTTATCCATGGAACAGAAGTCGTGTTCTTGTGTTGCAGGAGAGTAGAATTGGTGTAGATTGGAGTGTTGATCTTGTATTAGGTGATTACTGTGAATTCTACACATAGCAGGTCGCCTGCTTGGAGAGCTGCGTCACCATTCTGATGATGATGCACAAAAGCGTAAAACTCCCATGTTACGGAAATACCCCAAAAAGAAATGAAAGAACAGGACATGGAAGCTCTGCTCTGTGTGCCAATTAGAGCAGAATTGATGCCTTCAGATTATCAATGTTTCCGGGCGGCATGCACACCTTGATCCAAGAATAAGTTCAAAAAATTCGACGACGCTAAAATTTTGGTGTCCAACTTCTTCGAGTCGCACCCGAGACAGTTCTTCAAAGAAGTCATCCATTTCGTGCATAGAAAAGAGAGAGAATCCACTGTTCGAGATGGAGGATACAGTTTAGGTTCATGTGCTTTGTAATTGTTTTTATTTTATTGTTTTTGCAGTGAAATTTATTGGTGACCAAAAACGACATTTCTTATCGACCAACCTAATACATTGAATCTTTAAATCAAACCCTCAAAAACAAGTTTGACTATCCAACTTGTTTAACACGTTGACGACAACGCGCGTTTTGGCTTTTTTGGCCGCGTGGGACCGGCGCGATTTTGCGAGCGCGCCCGCCTCAGGTAATTCAAGCGGATTTTGGTTTATAGAATGCACAAAACAATGTCTGATCAAAAATAATATCGCTACCTTCCAGCGTGCAGAAGCTACCCAGGAGAACAGTAGAGGAAATTCCATCAAAAGACGTGAAATAACAATGAGAAAAGCAAAATTAGTCAAACCTAGCTACAATGAATGCTAAAAGGAGTTTTGAATTGATTGTCTCGATCAAAACACATACCTTGCAATCCCTTAGGTTCCACATTTACTTCTTCTACTCTTTTAATTGTCACATTAATGGAAAGGAAAAAATAAATGAGAAATTAGATGAAGTAAGTGCGTTGTAAGGTATCGGAAATCTTCGTCTGAATCATGACATACGTGAGCATTTTGTGGGCCACTATCTTGGGTAGCTATACTAAGGTTTCTTCCAAATGATATGTACGAAAAACTAAGAAAAGAATTGGCGCGTGCGCGGAAGAAAATGAATTTATTGGGCGCAGGGCACATACGTCCCGCGCTGTCCGTTATGGTCTGCAAAGTGCGGGACGTATGCGTCCTGCATTGTCGTCAACGTGTTGAAATGTTAAAGTCCTGTAGGCGAGGCTGCTATCAGCGTCATGTGGCCGCGCTTTTCAAAGGATGTTCTCTAGGAAAATCATGCTGTGCGGGCAGAAGGAGCTAGCGATGAGCCAGAGATTGATGAGTATGTCGCGACTGAGGACAGGATTTCGTAGCTCACCAGGAAATCTTTTAGGTCGTGCCAAGCTTTTCCAGAACGATTTTTTGTGGGGTAGAAGCGCATGCGAAAACCAACAAGATTCGTTCTCATTGAACGGCCCCTGAACTAAAAAAAGAGCGAGGAAAACTCGCCTTCAGGAACGTCTTTTAATGATTCATGGTGCGTACGTCGTCCACAGCCTTATCCACAATGTATTACATAACCAGGTTAACCGTATATTAGAAATGACGCGAAGCTTGAACAAAAGGATGCGGTTGCCCGAGCTATGTATGTGCCGAAGAAAATGTTATGCTTTTGCAAGGGATGTTGGAAAGTGACGTAGAGGTTTCTGTAGCCTAACGGTTAGTGTGGTAGACTCTAGCTGGACCGATGCAAACAGGACGCGTGATTCGGGTCCATGCCGGCACACCTTTTGCATTTTTTGACTGGTGTTTATGATGAGAAAATGGCAAATGGCACTCCCTCGCCATCAGGTGAGTCACGTTCGCGATCAGGGACACAAATAACCCCATAAGGACGGCTTCTCCCCGGCACATGGAGGAGAAATGTTGTGGCACCAAAATGGGGCTGGCGTCATAAAAGGATGCGATATTCCGTATATATTATTTCATATATATTCAAAATTTCGACAGAATCCTCATTTGCTCCTATAATGAAAGAAATAAATCCCTATTCCGAAAATTTTTGACTTAACATTGAGAAAGTGTATCACCATAAGATATAACTCGTCGTGTGTCTCCGGACAACTTTCGAGTTCGACGCAAGCTCGGTCCTACCGTTGCAACCTTTCGAAAATTATTTACCCCTCTCCCTCCAATCAGAAATTTCTCGACCCCCTTCACCGCCTTCGCCATCATGGTCGCTGCTTCTACAGCATTTATTTCTGAGACCAGCCGACACACCTAACTCCACCCACTTTTCTCTCCAAAACAACCGGTCGATGGGACAGGGGGGATGTGAATTGGTAATATACAGTAGTGGCCAGAAATTTATGAACAAACGGTTTTTTCATGATTTCTCTTTTGAAAGTCACTGCGAACGTCTCCAAATTTGCAACAATTATTAACTACGTGTTTTATGATCCACACAGAAAATTTCAACCTTTAGCTCAAATTTGGGTTTAGAAAATTTTAGATTTTTCGAAATTAATGAAGGCAGGTGAAAGATCACTTGATCCGTTTATTTGATTTTAAATAATGTATAACCCAACAGAACAGTCAAGTAAACAGTCACTAACATTAAGCAAGTCTAGCACATTGTCCAGAACTCTCTAAAGTATGATGTATCAAGCTGGGGTTCACTAATGAACTCACTCTCTAGTGGGGTCTCTCTCTGTAGTCCCGTCTTTTCGTGGCTCTTTCATTGACATACGAATTTGTAGGTCCTCCCCTAGTGGTTCTGTAATGTTTGGCTCAAGAGTCTGGCCTGGCTGGTCTTTTAAAAGCACCCCATGCTGTCGAAACCACTCCTGCATGTGAGAGGCCCGATGCTTTGAGTCGCTGCTCTGCTGACAGACAAAGTCAGGTCGTGTGGCAGCCATGCCTACGGATACATGACACCTTCCAAAACATGACAGCAACGTCTGCCTTCATCGCTACCTCAGTCGTGTAGCGTGGTCCCACTTTTTTCCAAGGCAACCTTATCAAGCCTCCGCCAAGTTTCACAATTGGCAGCTGATTCTTTGGATCAAAACGTTCCCTCTCGTGGTGCCGTACATTACTAGTATCCTTGCTGTCATGCATCAGTAATATGTTTTTGTCATTCCAGATGACCTTAGAAACCTGTATCAACCTTCGTTTCAGGCTTAGTCAATCACATTCTACTCCCACCCACTTCACAGCGAGCGCTCTTCTTAGACTTTGAGAACTAAGGAATACGTAGTATAGACTTAGATTCTAGAAGATGTTATGTATCCGTAGACATGGCTGCCACACGACCTGGCTTTGTCTGTCAGCAGAGCAGCGACTCAAAGCATCGGGCCTCTCACATGCAGGAGTGGTTTCGACAGCATGGGGTGCTTTTAAAAGACCAGCCAGGCCAGACTCTTGAGCCAAACATTACAGAACCACTAGGGGAGGACCTACAAATTCGTATGTCAATGAAAGAGCCACGAAAAGACGGGACTACAGAGAGAGACCCCACTAAGAGTGAGTTGACCCCGCATTCAAATCCAGTTTATGTATCCAATACTTTAGAGAGTTCTGGGCAATGTGCTAGACTTGCTTAATGTTAGTGACTGTTTACTTGACTGTTCTGTTGGGTTATACATTATTTAAATCAAATAAACGGATCAAGTGATCTTTCACCTGCCTTCATTAATTTCGAAAAATCTAAAATTTTCTAAACCCAAATTTGAGCTGAAGGTTGAAATTTTCTGTGTGGATCACAAAACACGTAGTTAATAATTGTTGCAAATTTGGAGACGTTGCAGTGACTTTCAAAAGAGAAATCATGAAAAAACCGTTTGTTCATAAATTTCTGGCCACTACTGTACGTACAGAAAACGGCAAAAACCTTCACACTGCGCACCCTAAACTCAACCATGAATTCTAAAACTACATCGAATATGACCTCCCCCCATCTACAAACTCAGCAAAATAGGACCCCCCCCCCGCAACATAGGACTGACCCTGGTTCGACGCGAAAAAAGGGGTAGGTCCTAGTGATAGACACGGGAACCGAGGTTTCCCCAGGTTCATTTTTCATTCCCTTGGACCATTGCACACCAGCACTTCCAAATCACACGTACTCATCAGAAGAGTATTTCAAA